TTGGGTCTCAGTCTGCCAAAGCATACATTGAGTTGTAGAGCAAGATTCTACATGCATAATTCCAAGTGTGCGAACTCTCCCCAGTTTCTCCTGACACTCAGTACATTTTCTCCTCAAAGTGCCTACAGGCAGAGTCAGGCAACTAGCAACAAAGGATAGGCATCCAGGAGCCCTGTCACAGACAAGGGGGACCTGGTATGTCTGACAAGGAAAAGAAAAAGGCTAGGTTATGCCTTCTGCTTCCCTCAAAAAATCCTTATCAGAATGTGGACATGACTCCAGTCTACAGAAACTGATTGGCTTCTAAGGCATAAAATGGAGAGCTTAGTGTTGAGGTGTTGCCCTAGCCTGTGAAGAGCCCTGAACATAGTATCACCAGAATTCAACAAAGCAAATTGAAATACCTTGGAATGCCTGACAAAATGTCTGTAAGGTGTATGTAATGAAAACAAACGTGTCACACATCCTCTCACCCCCTAACCACCATACCTTATGCAGGACATAGCTGAAAGCTCAGTAAAGACTTGGTGACATGGATACAGGCCTGGGATGAGCCTAATGTGGTCAAATTTGTTCTGACAGGTATCAACTTACCAAGCAGGAAGGGAGAGGCTTCACCTCCTTCTCCAGGCCCAAGTGTAGACATGAAAGTATAGATGAAAACTTGATGCAGACTCCGAGAAATGCCAGTGGCAAGAGCAAGTTCTGATGGGATCTGATCCATCCAGACCATCCCACATTGGTCGATACACCATGAACCTATATTTGTGATTCCAAGCTTCCAGGCTCTCCCCATTTTATCCTGACACTCTGCGTCTTGTCTTCTCAAAATGCCTATAGTCAGAGGAAGACAACATGCGTCAAAGTCTGAAAATCATGCAAAACAAAGGCTAGAGAGAAAGAACCAGGGCCAAGAGCTGAGGCACTTGCCTAGCTTGTGGGAGGCCCTGGAACACAATACCACTGGAATTCAGCGACAGGAAATTGAAGCACCTTTGTGTACCTAATAATGTGTAAAAGAGGGCTAGGAACATGGCTTAATGGCAAAGTGCTTGCCTAGCATGCATGAAGCCCTGGGTTCAAATCCTAAATACCACATACACAGAAAAATCTGGAAGTGGTGCTGTGGCTAAAGTGGTAGAGTGCTAGCCCTGAGTGAAAGAGCTCAGGGACATTGCCCAGGCCCTGAGTTCAAGCCCCAGGACAGGCCAAAAAAATGTATTAAATACCTATGTTATGAAAAGAAAAAAAATCTCTTTGTGCTGGTCCTGGGGCTTGAACTTGGGGCCTGGGTGCTCTCCCTGAGTTGTTCTTGTTCAGTGCCAGTGCTGTACCACTTGAGCCACAGCTCCACTTCTAGATGAGCCAGAACCCAGGAATTGGACATCCTTTAGAGTAGGCCTAGTCATAGCTGGCCGAAACTGGAGCTGTTGCCAACAAGGGAAAGGTCTGGACATGGAGAAAGCCCAAACCAGGAGCTCAGGGAAGGCCCAGACCCAGGGAAGGACGAGACCTGGGGAAGGCTGAGACCCAAGGAAGGCCTGGACCCAGGGAAGGCCTGGGGGAAGAACAGGACCCTGGGAAGGGATAGACTCAGGGAAGGCCCAGATTCAACAAGGAATGGGACTGAGGGAGGCCTGGACCCAGGGAAGCCCTGGGCTCGGATATGTGTACTTACAGCAGCCCAGACCCTGAGCTGTCAGGAGGGATGTGCAGCCAGCTACAGAGGCCTGGTGTGGGGCCTGCCTGGTGTGGGGGCTGGTGTGGGGCCTGGAGTGGGGCCTAGCGTGAGACCTGGCATGGGGCCTGGTATGGGACCTGGTGTGGGGCCTGCATGTTGTAGGGCCCGATGTGGGGCCTGCCTGGTGTGGGGCCTGGTATGGGGCCTGTCTGGTGTGGGGCCTGGCGTGGGGACTGCCTGGTGTGGGGCCTGGCGTGGGGCATGCTGTAAGGGCTGCCTGGTATGGGGCCTGGCGTGGGGCATGGTGTGGGGGCTGTCTGGTGTGGGGCCTGGTATGGGGCCTGGTGTGGGACCTGCCTGGTGTGGGGCCTGTGTGGTGTGGGGCCTGTTGTGGGACCAGGTATAGGGCCTGGTGTGGGACCTGCCTGGTGTGGGACCTGCCTGGTGTGGGTTCTAGTATGGGGCCTGGTGTGAGGCCTACCTGGTGTAGGACCTGCCTGGTATGAGGCCTGGTGTGGGGCCTGCCTGGTGTGAGGCCTAGTGTGGGACTTGATGTGGGACCCGCCTGGTGTGAGGCTGCCTAGTGTGGGGCCTGGTATGGGGCCTGGCATGAGTTCTGGCGTGGGGGCTGTCTGGCATGGGGGCTGCCTGGTGTGGGGCCTGCCTGGTGTGAGGCCTGGTATGGGGCCTGCCTGGTGTGGGGACTGCCTGGTGTGGGGGCTGCCTGGTGTGGGGCCTGGTATGGGGCCTGTCTAGTTTGGGGCCTGGCATGGGGCCTAGTGTGGGGCCTATTGTGGGACCTGGTGTGGAACCTGTCTGGTGTGGAGCCTGCCTGGTGTGGGGCCTGGTGTGGGGCCTGGTATGGGGCCTGTCTAGTTTGGGGCCTGGCATGGGGCCTAGTGTGGGGCCTATTGTGGGACCTGGTGTGGAACCTGTCTGGTGTGGAGCCTGCCTGGTGTGGGGCCTGGTGTGGGGCCTGGTATGGGACCTGGTGTGGAACCTGCCTGGTGTGGGGACTGCCTGGTGTGGGGGCTGCCTGGTGTGGGGCCTGGTATGGGGCCTGTCTAGTTTGGGGCCTGGCATGGGGCCTAGTGTGGGGCCTATTGTGGGACCTGGTGTGGAACCTGTCTGGTGTGGAGCCTGCCTGGTGTGGGGCCTGGTGTGGGGCCTGGTATGGGACCTGGTGTGGAACCTGCCTGGTGTGGGGACTGCCTGGTGTGGGGCGTGATGTGGGACCTGCCTGGTATGAGGCCTGGTGTGGGGCCTGCCTGGAGTGGGGCCTGGTGTGGGGCCTGGCATGGGGCCGGCCTAGCATGGGACCTGTCTGGTGTGGGGCCTACCTGGTATGGGGCTTGGCATGGGGCCTGGTGTGGGGCCTGCCTGGTGTGGGGCCTGGTAAAGGGACTGGTATGAGGCCTGGTGTGGGACCTGGCGTGGGGCCTGCCTGGTGTGAGGCCTGCCTGGTGTGGGGCCTGGCGTGGGGCCTGGTATGGGGTCTGCCTGGTGTGGGGCCTGCCTGAATTGGGGCCTGATATGGGGCTTGGCCTGGGGCCTAGTATGTGACCTGGTGTGGGGCATGGTGTGGGGCCTGCCTGGTGTGGGGCCTGGCTTGGGGCATGGTGTGGGACCTGCCTGGTGTGGGGCCTGCCTGGTGTGGGGCCTGCCTGGTGTGGGACTGCCTGGTATGGGTCCTGCCTGGTGTGGGGCCTGCCTGGTGTGAGGCCTGGCGTGGGGCCTGCCTGTTGTGGGGCCTGCTTGGTGTGGGGCCTGGCGTGGGGCCTGGCGTGAGGCCTAGTGTGTGACCTGGCGTGGGGCATGCTGTGGGGCCTGGTGTGGGGCCTCCCTGGTGTGGAGCCTGGCGTGGGGCATGGTGTGGGGCCTGCCTAGTATGAGGCCTGCCTGGTGTGGCCTGCCCAGTGTGGGGTATGGTGTGGGGCCTGTTGTGAGGCCTGCCTGGTGTGAGGCCTGGTGTGGGTCCTGCCTGCTGTGGGGCCTGGTGTGGGGCATGGTGTGGAACCTGCTTGGTCTGGGGTGTGCCTGGAGTGGGGCCTGGTGTGTGGCCTCTCTAGCGTGGGGCCTGGCTTCATCGAAGTCACCTCAGGAAGGACACAAATGATACACCGGGAGAGGCAGGCCGCACTGCTCCACCCTGTGCCCCACCAGCACCACCCCAGGCCCTGTCCGCACCTGGCCGGAGGCCGCTCGTCCTCGCTCAGCTCCACTCGTCCTCCGCAGGCGCCTCACGGTCGCTCAGCTCCGCTCGTCCTCCGCAGGCGCCTCAGGGTCCGCTCAGCTCCGCTCGTCCTCCGCAGGCGCCTCAGGGTCCGCTCAGCTCCGCTCGTCCTCCGCAGGCGCCTCAGGGTCCGCTCAGCTCCGCTCGTCCTCCGCAGGCGCCTCAGGGTCCGCTCAGCTCCGCTCGTCCTCCGCAGGCGCCTCAGGGTCGCTCAGCTCCGCTCGTCCTCCGCAGGCGCCTCAGGGTCGCTCAGCTCCGCTCGTCCTCCGCAGGCGCCTCAGGGTCGCTCAGCTCCGCTCGTCCTCCGCAGTCGCCTCACGGTCGCTCAGCTCCGCTCGTCCTCCGCAGGCGCCTCAGGGTCCGCTCAGCTCCGCTCGTCCTCCGCAGGCGCCTCAGGGTCCGCTCAGCTCCGCTCGTCCTCCGCAGGCGCCTCAGGGTCCGCTCAGCTCCGCTCGTCCTCCGCAGGCGCCTCAGGGTCCGCTCAGCTCCGCTGGTCCTCCGCAGGCGCCTCATGGTCCACTCCGCTCCGCTCATCCTCCGCAGTCGCCTCACGGTCCGCTCAGGCCCCGCGTCCCGCCTTCTCCACAGACAAGCTGACCGTGCAGAGCCCGCGTCCTCCAGGCGCTTCCTCCGGAGAAAAGCCGCCGGCGCCTGACAGGACCGGGTCGGAAGCCCAGCCCGCCACAAGACCACAGTGCGCCCGCCCAGCTCTGCAGGCCCGAACGCCAGCACGCGCGCTCAGAGGAAGGAGCTGAGGAGCCGCCCGCGGGTCTGCCGCCTCAGACAGAACCCGCCAAAACTGGTCCAGCCCTCCGGCCCGCCCCCGCACCGCTCACTTCCTCTCTCCTGCCCCGCCCCTCAAGCGCTCTGCCCCACAAGTCCCGCCCATACCTGCTCACTCCCAATCTAGTTCTGCCCTTCCCATGTTCTGTCCCCCGAAGCCCCGCCCCTGGACCACTCACTTCCTCTCTCTAGTAGTCCCGCCCCTCCCCCCCCTCCCGCACAAGCTCCGCCCTGCTCCCCACAGGCCCCGCCCTGCTCCTGCAGAGCGCCGCTGGCTCTGCCCCACTCCCCACAGGCCCCGCCCTAGCCTGGCAGAGCCCCACAGGCCCCGCCCTGCTCCTGCAAAGGGCAGCTGGCTCCGCCCCACTCCCCACAGGCCCCGCCCTGGTCCCCGCAGAGGCCCCGCCCACCCTGCGCCGAGAGGCGACCCAGCAGCAGGCAGCCGACCAATGGTGGCGGGCCAGCGCTGCAGGATGTGCTGGTGGTGGTCATGGGAGCCGGCAGCCGCGGGTCCGCGGCCAACCTCAGAGGAGGAGTGGCAGAGGGGGAGGAGGAGGGGCTAAAGCGAGCGCCCATGGGCGGGGCCAGCAGGGTGGGCTGCGGGGCGGGGCCGGGATTTCCCGCCAAGGTGGTGGTGCTTGTGAGGCTTGGAGGCGCAGGGTGTGGGGGGCTGGGCCGGGATTTCCCGCCAAGCCCCTCTCGGTGGCCGCTGTGCTTGTGAGGCTTGGAGGCGCAGGGTGTGGCACGCGGGCAGGGCCTGGATTTCCTGTGGGGCGGGGCCGGGGGAGGGGAGGGGCCTGAGGGGGCGGGGCTGTGGGGAGGGGCTTGCGGGGAGGGGCGGGGCTAGGAGTTCCCGGGCCCAGGCCAGTGCAGGGCAGTGGAGGGAAGTCAGAGGCGCCAGGGCCCACGGGCGGAGCGCTGGACGGGCCGGCACCACCTGGGTTCTAGACCCTACGGGAAAAAAGAAAAGAAAAGCACAAATAAGTCCCGAACCCGCATGATCCGACCCCATACTAGAACACAGCACACCTGTGGGGGGGGGAGGAGTCCGCGTCTGTGCAGGGGTGAGGGGAGGGGTACTGGGGTCAGGGGGAGGGCTCAGGTGGAGTATGGCTCAGATGGAGGAGGGATCAGGTGGAGGGAGGTCAGATGGAGGAGGGATCAGGTGGAGGGAGGTCAGGTGGAGGGAGGTCAGATGGAGGAGGGATCAGGTGGAGGGAGGTCAGGTGGAGGGAGGTCAGGTGGAGGAGGGATCAGGTGGAGGAGGGATCAGGTGAAGGGAGGTCAGGTGGAGGAGGGATCAGGTGAAGGAGGGATCAGGTGGAGGGAGGTCAGGTAGAGGAGGGATCAGGTGGAGGGAGGTCAGGTGGAGGAGGGATCAGGAGGAGGAGGGATCAGGAAGAGGAGGGATCAGATGGAGGAGGGCTCAGGTGGAGGAGTCAGATGGAAGAGGGATCAGGTGGAGGGAGGTCAGGTGGAGGAGGGATCAGGTGAAGGGAGGTCAGGTGGAGGAGGGATCAGGTGAAGGGAGGTCACGTGGAGGAGGGATCAGGTGGAGGAGGGATCAGGTGAAGGGAGGTCAGGTGGAGGAGGGATCAGGTGAAGGAGGGATCAGGTGGAGGGAGGTCAGGTGGAGGAGGGATCTGGTGGAAGGAGGTCAGGTGGAGGGAGGTCAGGTGGAGGAGGGATCAGGTGGAGGAGGGATCAGGTGAAGGGAGGTCAGGTGGAGGAGGGATCAGGTGAAGGAGGGATCAGGTGGAGGGAGGTCAGGTGGAGGAGGGATCAGGTGGAGGGAGGTCAGGTGGAGGAGGGATCAGGTGGAGGGAGGTCAGGTGGAGGAGGGATCAGGTGAAGGAGGGATCAGGTGGAGGGAGGTCAGGTGGAGGAGGGATCAGGTGGAGGGAGGTCAGGTGGAGGAGGGATCAGGTGGAGGGAGGTCAGGTGGAGGAGGGATCAGGTGAAGGGAGGTCAGGTGGAGGAGGGATCAGGTGAAGGAGGGATCAGGTGGAGGGAGGTCAGGTGGAGGAGGGATCAGGTGGAGGAGGGATCAGGAAGAGGAGGGATCAGATGGAGGAGGGCTCAGGTGGAGGAGTCAGATGGAAGAGGGATCAGGTGGAGGGAGGTCAGGTGGAGGAGGGATCAGGTGAAGGAGGGATCAGGTGAAGGAGGGATCAGGTGGAGAGAGGTCAGGTGGAGGAGGGATCAGGTGGAGGGAGGTCAGGTGGAGGAGGGATCAGGTGAAGGAGGGATCAGGTGGAGGGAGGTCAGGTGGAGGAGGGATCAGGTGAAGGAGGGATCAGGTGGAGGGAGGTCAGGTGGAGGAGGGCTCAGGTGGAGGAGGGATCAGGTAGAGGAGGGATCAGATGGAGGAGGGCTCAGGTGGAGGAGTCAGATGGAGGAGGAGTCAGATGGAGGAGGGTTCAGGTGGAGGGGGTCAGGTGGAGGGAGGTTAGGTGGAGGAGAGATCAGGTGGAGGAGGGCTCAGGTGGAGGGGTCAGGAGGAGGGGTCAGGAGATAGGGGTCAGGTGGACAGGGGATGGTAGAAGGGGGCAGGATCCCCTCCTCTGAGCCCAGGGGCATTTAGGGACAGGGATGAGTGGCCATGGGGTGGTCAGAACTTGAAGACAAGGGACCGGGCAGGGGCTGAGATCAAAGGCGGCAGCAGAGATGTCTCCTAGACTTAGGGGACAGGGTCTCCTGGGGTTCAGGTCTCCTAGACCTGAGGGTCAAGGTCTCCTGGGGTCAGGGTCTCCTAGAGGACAGGGTCTCCTGGGGGACAGAGTCTCCTAGGCCTGGGGTCAGGGTCTCCTGGAGGTCAAGGTCTTTCTGGGGTTTCATTAATATTCCTGGGTCATCTTCAGTGGCCTGAGGTCTGGAGTCAGTGTCTGCCCAAAGAGCAGCAGAGGCTGAGAGTGGGTACAGCAGGTGGCTGGCATGTGGCATGTGCTGGGGACCCAACCCTGTGCCTCAGGCTGCCCAGGATTCCTCCCAGGTGACAGCTGCTGGGTATGTGGGGGGGAGGTGCTAAGTGTCCCCATGGAGGGTCTGACCGCTGAGTATCCCCACAGTGAGCCTCCATGCTGAGTGTCCCTGTGGTGGCTGAATGTCACCATGGCGGGCCTGAGTGCTGAGTGTCCCCACAGTGAGCCTGAGTGCTGAGTGTCCCCACAGTGAGCCTGAGTGCTGAGTGTCCCTGTGGTGGCTGAGTGTCCCCACGGCAGGCCTGAGTGCTGAGGCACCCTTACTACACCCAAACACCAACGTCTTTCGTAATGCATACCCTACATGTACCCTTAATATATACCACAACACATACCTAAACCATAACACATACCCTAACTGTAACACAAACCCTGCCACATACTATAAATTTTACCTTACCCTAATACATACCATAACATACACTCTAAACACTAACATGTATCATAGCAGTAACTGTTTTTTGTTTGTTTTTTTTTTGTCGGTCATGGAGCTTGAACTCTGGGCCTGGGCGCTGTCCCTGCGCTCTTCAGCTCAAGGCGAGCGCTCTACCACTTGAGCTACAGTGCCACTTCCGGTTTTCTGGTGGTTTATTGGAGATAGGAGTCTCACGGACTCTCCTGCCCGGGCTGGCTTTGAACCGCGATCCTCAGATCTCAGCCTCCTGAGTAGCTAGGATTACAGGCGTGAGCCACCAGCGCCCGGCTTAGCAGCAGTAACTGTTATGTGAACTTTGAACCATACAGTTACTCTTACATATACCCTAGCATGTACCCCAAACACTCTAATGTATACCCTAACCGAAGATAAAAATTAAAAGATACACTAACATTTACCCTAGACATAACATGTACCCTAACCCTTATCATATACTGTAGACCTTACATATACCCTAACAAGTACCCTAAACTTATGCCAACACACATCCTAACATGTTGCCTAACCGAAATCATAACCATAACCCTGAGACATGCCCAAACATGTTCCCTAAATCTAACACATTAATGTGTCTCCTAACAAGTACTCTATCATGTACTATAAGTCATACATGTACCAGAATACTTACCCTAACATGTGCCAAACATACCATGTATCCTAGTATGTACTCAAAACACTTATTCATATCCTAACAAGTACTCTAGCACATACTCAAAACCATACAGGAACCCTTACATGCACCATAACATGTACCCCAGAGTAAACTAATATACACCCTAATATGTGTCCTAGCTTTAACATGTATCTTAACCGTAACAGATTTCCCAATAGTATTTTCACTCTAACACACTAAACATGCTTTAGACACTAACACATATGGTAACAAGAACCCTAACATATACTCTATAACTCATACAGGTAACCCTTACATGTACCCTGAATGTACCCTAACATACTCTAACCAAAACCTTAATCCTGACCTTAACATATACCCTAACATGTACCCTAGCCACTAACACATGCTCTAACAAGCATCCTAACCCATACTCTAATAAATACATGTGCCCATACATGTACTCTAACATGTACCTCCAACATACCCTAACATGTTCCTTAACCCTAAGATATACCCTAATATGCACCCTAATATGCCCTAACAAATATTTTAATCTACACAGGTACCCCAATGGGTACTGCCAATGTACCATAGCACATATCCTAACATGTGCCCTAACCCTAACAGTAACCATAACCCTACCCCAATTGAGTACCCTAACACTAACACATTCTGTAACATACCCTAATGTGTGCTTTAACCCTAACCCAGACCATAACACCAACAAATCCCTTATCAATTATCCTAACTCTAACATATATCCTAACATGTACCCCAACACATACCCTGACACATATCCTAACACATACCCCAATACATAACAGATATATTAACAAAATGTACTGTAAACCATAGTTACCCTTACATGTACCCTAACTCATACCTTAACACAAAAACTAACCCAAACCTTAATACCCTTACACATGCCCTAAGGCAAACACCAACATGTATACTAACATGTACCTTAACCACTAATACATACAATAACAAGTACTCTTACACATACAGATACCCTCACATGCACCCTAATATGTACCCAAATGAACCTTAACACTAACTGAAACTCCAACCCTAAGTAATACCCTAATACATGCCCTAACCGTAACGCATACCCTACCCATGTACCCTAATCCTAACACATCATCTAAACCCATATCCTAATTAGTTCCCTAGAACATACTCAAAACCATGCAGGTACCCTTACAAGCACTCTAACCCCAAATGTAATCTAACATATTCCCTAACACATGTGTTAACTTTAACAAAACCATAAACCTTATACCCTGAAACATGTCCTAAACCTAACACATACCCCATCACATATCCTAACATGAACCATTAACATTAGTACATATCTTGATATGTAGCCTAACTATGAACACATACTCTAAATAATACATGTGCCTAACATGTACTCCAAATGTATGGCATAACAGTAGCCTATAACTTGCCGTGATCCTAACATGTATCCTGACATGTTCTCTAACATATATACATATCTTATCTCTGTAACCTAACCATAACCTATACCTTGACATGTACCATAACTAACACATATCTTATCATGTACCTTAAAATGTGCTCTAACCTCAAAATATTATTTCAACATTAACATGTATCCTAACAAGCACCCTAACAGTACTCAAAACCACCCTTACATGCACCCTAATGTGTACCCCAAATGCACCCTAACAAATACTCTAACATGCCTTAGCCCTAACAGGTACCTTAAC